GAATCAAGACTCCTCTAAAGACTAGAAGATCCAGTCCCCTATTGGACTCTCTACCTCCAAATACTTACCGGAACCTGAAAGAGAAATATACCAAGTACTGTTACTATCATTCACTCATTTGAATTTATCAAAAGTATATCAAAAATTTTGGACTTTCATTCTTTTTATATATATATTTTTTATATATTTATTAAATCCTTCTTTTTTACATATTTCTCCTCATTTACGTTTTAAAGTGTCTGACATATTTATCCCTTTCCATTTGATATTTATGTAGCGCAACCTATTATTCTTGTTTTTGTCATTTCTCTTTTGAGGACTTTAGAGGGAACCTCATACCTATAGGTTGCAGCTTTCTACTTGACTACATCACGCAGCGCTGATCCGTTTTCTACCTCATCTAAAGATTAGCAGGCAGGATATCACATGTGACATAACAGGTATTTATTCTGAAGTCACTCTTAAACCCTCTCCTCTTGTCTACAAATCTTTCCATCTCATTTAGTAATTTCAGAAAGTGATTTTTCTCCATATCTATTGTTTCATATGTTAAAATATTTCCTTGGCTTGTTAAAAACTGAATTAGTGATCCTTAAATCTCACCCAAATTCCAGCATTAATCCCAATACTTTGGAGATTCATGCTTACTGAACCAAATTCGCAGCGGACTCATCATTGAGTAAACTTTGACCCTGTACCTCACAGTCAGCAGACACATTCCAGCCAATCAGCAGCAGACCCTCCCTCCCAGACCCTCCCACCTCCTGGACAGCATCCATTTTGAAGCTGCATTCTTAGTGAGCTGTCCAGGATGTGGGAGAGTCTGGGAGGGAGGGTCTGCTGCTGATTGGCTGGAATGTGTCTGCTGACTGTGAGGTACAGGGTCAAAGTTTACTCAATGATGAGTCCATGGCGAACCATTTGCGGCAAACCGTTCGGCGAACCGTTCGGGACATCACTATTAAGCACTTTAAACTGTTTAACTCTGAAAGACTCTTGTATGTGTGTGTATTTATATATACATACAAGATGTGTGTGTGTGTGTATATATACATATAGGGAAGCAAAAACCAAAAAGGTTATGGTGGGAAAAAAGTGTGATTGAAATATATTTTCATTAATCTAAATCTCTTATTTTAATGATGATGCTTTTCAAAATTGATGTCTAAA